CATAAGCATGATTTTTCCCTTTGCTGCAAATGAGCTTATTCAGTAGCTTATGTTCTTTGTTGCATTGGGCCCAGTGCTCAGGATCTCAGGGGATCAAGCCTCTATTAAGAGTAGTCATTTGCATTGTGGAGAGAGGGGAAAACAACTGCGTATAACACACATTTCATTAATTTGACTTGTCGTCAAGTCCTTTGCCTCCTTAAGTAAACGGAGAAAGCAATGCAAGAGAACTTCTGAGAAGAGTTCATCATATGCAGGCCTACCTTTATGCAAGTCATGCCCAGTGCTAAGATAAAGACATCATTAGAGGGGCTTTCATGGAGATCTGGAAAAGTCTAATGAATACTTCTACGCAATTTAATTCAATGAGAAAATTACAGTGGACTATAGATATTTTTACAGATTCCCAAGTGCCTATTTCCTATAATAACCTGCTATAAATACAAATCCCATAAACCAGGCCATCAGGAATTCAAACAAAAGCAGTCTAATTTTTTTAATTATGTATTTAAAGTATTTCTGTTAAATGGGGGACTTACAGTCAATTCCAAGGTCAGGTTTTTCCATCAATCTTCTCCCTTGTGGTGCGTTATTTTTGCTTCTTGTCAGAGAGGACAATATTACTGATTTCCCTGTACAAATGATTCTGATATTAAAAATGGATAGAAAAACATCAACACAAGACAGATAGCAACATTTTCCATCTCAAATGACAGACCACCAAAGTACATGTACCATGAATGACAGATTCATTTAAAATGCAAACCAGCTTCATTCAGAGCAAGGTGCATACAAAGGAAAAGGAACTGTAGACAGTAGAATGAAATGAGCTTTTGAAACTCTACAGTATGTAAGAAAAAAAAATCAAACATAACCAAGTAGGAGAGATTTTCTCCACTAAGCATGGAATATTTTTATTGGTTGTAGCAGAGAAAGTAGAAGATATTAATTCACTTCCCAACACAGTGCAACTGCATAGATCTTCCTGTAAAGATGTGATTAGCAAGGGTGCCCTCCTAGCTATTATGACAATTGGTACTGCAAGAGCATCACCTGTGGGTGTGGGTAGCAGACATAGCCTTCTCGGCTGCTCCTGTGCCAAGGAGCCACAGGGACATGTCGCTGTTTCCTGGGAGCTGCCTGAGGTAAGTGCCACCCAGCACCTGAGGTTCCCCAAGCCTCTACCCCAATCCTGAGACCCCTTCCAGATCTCACATTCCCCCAACCTCCTGCCTGTGGTCAAAACCCCCTTCCTCACTCAAACTCTTTCCTGAAATCCATACCCTGCACTTCCTCCTGCACCCCATCCCAAAGCCCCCTCCTACAGTACAGCTCCTCATTCCCAGACCAACCTGCCGCCAGAGACTTCACCTCCTGCCTCATCCCAGAGCCTCCTCCTGCACCCTCATATCTGACCCCACATCAGAGCCCATACCCCCTCCTACATGCCAACCTCCTGGCTCAGCACTACATAAGCTGGAACTCTGGAGCAGTTCCACCATGGACTGTGTAGGTAGGAGATGATGGAAGCATTAGATTTTTCAGTTAAGCAGGTGAATGATACATAGAATTAGGACAACGGTGAATTTATTTGCCTTAGTTTTCACTATTTTGAGGGGGTCAGTTTATGTTGTTGGGAACCTATGTCTTCTAGTTTTTTTGTGCTCTGCCTACATTATATACAGAAATGAGAAAGGGCCCTGTGTACCTCCGAAGCTTGTCTCTCTCTCCGACAGATGTTGGTTCAATACAAAGAAAAATTACCTCACCCACTGAAGTTACTGTTTTATTCTGTGTGTGGGTGGAATCAGAATGAAATGCAGAAAAAGGGATTCTAAAGTTACGTTTGGAGGCATAGAACATCATTCCAAAGAATCAGAAATTACCAAGAAGTGCAGTGGTATTCACTGGGATTTCCAAAATCTTCTGATGTTCTGGGATATTCACTAAATTAATTCACAGAGCATGAAAAACATTATTATGGTGAGCTAATGCTGCCCATTGCTATGAATCCATAAATGACAACATTTGAAGGAAACTAATAGGGTCAGATACAGATTAAAATTGTGATTCACCTTTTGCACAGATTGAGCTCTGTGAGGAGCAATTATCTTTTGATAAGAACAGAGGAAATGACAACATTATGTTAAAAAATAAGAACAGTCCCGCTTCCTGAGGAATAGTTAGCATGAATAGATACGCCATAGCGGCTGCTAGGCTGGAAACAATAAGGAACTACGGTCCTATTCAACTAAATGCACCGAAAAATAAATCAAGTTCAGCTAGAGAAGCAAATACCATAAAACATAATCTGTGAATATCTGCTGTCATTGTTTATGAATTGGTTTGGCTTTGCTTGGACATGCTTTTGTTTCTGCTGTCCACAAACATTCAAGGAATTGAATCTCACTAGCACAAATATTCATTTTAAGCAAATCTGAGATGTACATAGATAGTATATGTGTTGAAAGCATTTGTGCATTCAGCAGTGTATGCACTGCTGTTGGCACCCACAAAGCGTTGGTATACCTGTGGACCAGGGAAAGGCCCCACTGAAATGCACTCCAGATACGTTCAGTTCTACTATATTTGTAAACAGCTGTCACTTTCAGTGACTATTGTCTTACACTGCTGAAATATCTCCTTTTAAAATATACAATATTTGTTTTGATTATTTCCCCATGTTTAGTTTTCAGATGTTTGGTCTTTTCAACTTCTTCCTTCTAGTTTTGGATACAGCTACATTAAGCTGCTTGTTGATTTTCTCTACAGTTGGATGGATTATTGACATTATTACGATCCATTTGGGAAATCCATTCAGCCCCATTAAGTTAGCTGCAGATTTGAGATATTTGAGTAGCTTGTGTGCTGAGCAGATTTTCACTCTTGGAGCCACACTTCATGCTATTTAGAGCATGAGATTCCCACAGTAGGTATTGTTCTCTGCATCTTTTTTTTTCCTGCGGTATGAATGTGATCTCATAACTTAATGTGAAAGATACCCAGATGGGGATGATAGTTTTTTCTTTTTCTCTCATTTTTAAATTAGATTTGTGTATTTTCATTAAGGAAATCTTGATACTCATTCAAGCATCAAAGTAATACAAATCATTCAGAGTTGTCCTTCGGAATGTAGTGTTTTGAGCTAAGGCTTTTACAGGACTTAGTCTAGCTGGAATCATAAGATCCAGAACCTTCTAGCAGCAATGATTTGAAAACAACAGGGCTGTCAAATGTCTAAAATAATAATCTTGATTAATTGCAAAATTTAAAAAAAATCAAAATTAATCACACTGGTAAACAAAAATAGAATATGATTTATTTAAATATTTTGAATGTTTCCAAAATTTTCAAATATGCAGATTTCTGTTACAGCACAGAACAAAGAGCATACAATGCTCATTTTATATTATTTGTATTGCAAATATTTGTACTGTAAAAAGAAACAAAAGAATTAGTTTTTTCAATTCCTCTCAAACAAGTTCTGTATTGCAGTTTCGTAATCATGAAAGAGCAATTTACAAATGTAGATTTTTTTTATATAATTGCAGTCAAAAATAAAATAACGTAAAATTTAATGGCTTACAAGTCCACTCAGTCCTACTTCTTTTTTAGCCAATCACTAAGACAAATAAGTTTCAGATCAGCAAAAGGGGAAGAAAGGACAATGAATGTTTGGTTTAAAAGTACCAACATTCTGTTTTAAGTGTTGATGATTTTAAGGTCTGGAAGTAAAGAGAAAATCAAGTCTTCAAACTTTGCCAGGTTAAGGCCTTGTTTACATGTTACAGCGTCAGCAGCTACCAAATGCCACTTTCTCTTACTACCTATCCTTCCAGGCTTTATTGCTTATATATAGTAGAAATCTATTTTAGTACCAAGCATTACTTCATTGTACAGCTCAGTGTCTCAGAATCCCAGCTCTGAGATGAGAGCTCATGGGAAACTCTGTCTGGGGAGTAAACTCTTTGTTTTTATTACTTTACATTTCACTTTTGTGGCAGTGAAATTACTATCCATGCCCTGGGAAAAATATCACATTGGAACCGTATCAGTTCTGTATCAGTGAGTTACTTCACTCTCACCACCACATGCTGGTAATTCTTTGTCAAAAGTATCTGATGAACTATTAAAAGTGAAACTGGTCTCAGCTTCACTTTGGGACATTAACTAAGTATAACTGGCTAGTAAGAAGTGTTCTCAGTTTGATGTTATAGATTAGCGCCTAAAGATGCAGACAGACAAGTCCACTGACGGAGAGGGGCAAACAGGGCAGTTGCCGTGGGGCCCAGGGCTCCCAGCCACTGCTGCAGTAGCAGCGGTGGTGCTAGAGCCCTGTTACCTTTAAATTGGTGCTGGAGCATTGAGGCAGGTGCTCCACACTGCTCTGAGAGCTGGGGGGGACGGGGGAGGAAGGGGATTCCGGATATTACAGAGGACTGGCTGCACCTAGCCCAACCCCTTCCACTTGAAGCCTCCACCCCTTCCAGGAGCAGGGATCCATGCCCCTCCCCGCCTGCAATACCTTGCCCAGTGGCCTGCAAAGGCTGTCAGCTCCCCTGCAATTAGGTCATCCAGTGGGATTTTCAAATGAGCTAATCACAATTCATCTTAAGATAGGACAGGACATTGATTTTGAAATCTCAAAAAAAATGTACAAGAATAATTGTAATAAGAATTCACGTTTCAACTTACTTTCCTCCTTTGCGGTCATTGACTGATATCTCAGGTTTTTCCCATGTGTTTGATGAATTGGACAGCAATAGGTCTTGTCACAAGGCAAGATGTCACAGAAATTCACTTCGGGGATTGGAATGCTGGGTGTCATAGCTGAGGAAGCTGTGCTGTCACTGAGCGCTGCAAAGAACAACGAACTCCTCAGTTGTGCTGTTTGTCTCTTGACTTTTTGCAGCAGCACAGAAATTGCAGGCATAGCATATGTAAGAGTAACAGATACAGTACCTGCAGTGGTGGTGTAGAGAGGGTGTGTAATGGAACTTGTAGCATTGCTGGTGAAGAAGAAAGATGATTAGTTACAAAATATCTACAAATGCTGTTTATTTAAACAGAAATTCTAATAATTGGACTACTTGCCTGACAATGGGACTTGGGTTAACCTCTTGCTCTTCTATGCTAAGTATGTAAAGAGTGGATATTGCCATGGCACTGTGAAAAGATAATTAGTCAGTAGATTCATACCCATCACTTGATGCACACACAGTATTAACAGGATCTAAACAGCATGCACAACCTATTCCAAAGCCTACTGAAATTAATGGAAAGGTTCTCATTGACTCAATTTAGATCAGGCTTTTAGTTGGCATAAGAGACCCTGCACATTTTGATATGTTCCTTTCAGAATATGGGATGAAGGGTTGTAATGTGGGAAGATCACTTTTAAGGTAACAGTACGTTCATAAATGCAGTAGAACATCTGCTCAACTTCCCCTTGTCAAAAGTACTACAGCATAGGCTGAGCACACTGCAGTAATAATATTCTTATATTCTTGACCCTTTTCTAGGACTGTACAGTCAGAATACTTTTAGAATAAAAAAGCAGAAAGTTCAACCTTTATACAAGAGACAAATATGCTGATTTTGCCACACTGACAGTCACATGTATTATCAGCTTACTAAATTGAGTGTATGCTATACACTCAGTATTAGCAGGGAAGAGGAAGCATTTTTTACAACTGATCTTGCAAGAAGTTTCAAATTCTAATTGAAAATGTTTCTTTCAACCCTCTGTTTATGGACAACCAGAATCTGATTTTACAGGGAGAAAAGAAGAAACAAAATGTATGATTAATATATTTCTTACCATAGTGCCATTACAGAAACCAAAGCTATTACAGTGATCTGGAAAATTCTGTTGGACCATGACTGTTTTTCCTTGGAAAAACAAACCTAGAGAAAAAGCACTCAGTTGATATAACATAGCCAGTAATTTGTTGCTTGATAAATAACTAATCAAGCTAATTTTGCCTAAAATGGTGTCCCATGGCTCCTGATGGACTGGTGGCAGGTATATCACAGAAGTCACTAGCTCAGGGAAATGAAAAGATGGAGAAAGGGAAAGATGGTTGTCCCAATAAAGGATTAGCATTGGTAATAATCACAGAAAATGCCAATATCTTTGGCTGCTACCTTCATCTCTGGAGAAAATGCCTACAAAATCCCTTTGTTGAAACCAATGACATTAATTGGTGATGACCACATCTAAGGCAGCAGGAACCTCCAGTATGTGCCCAGGACTAGACTGAATGTGATATAAATACAGAAAGAAAGCACACTTGAGATAAATGGAAAAATGGTCTCAGAATATGGAGAGATTGAGGATTATCATTACTGGATACAGAATGTTTTGTCCCATCACCTGTGAGCACATTGTGGCACCCACAGTAGTGACAGGTGATATGAAATGGCAGGACCAAGAGGTATCAGCTTGGGAAGAATGCAGGAAAGTAATTCAAGCCATGTATTTTAATCCTTTCAGTGCCAGTGCAAGGGAAGTTTCTTTTCTGTATCAGAATACAGTGAACTCTGCTGTTACAGAGGGATTCCCCAGGGCTATATCTGAGACTTCCTGTTGCATGTTCTAATTTTTCCACCCCAATAGTTTTGGAATCTGGAGGAGGAAACACAGTACAATACAGGTGTAACCCCTGAGCATATAGAAATGGTAAGTAGGCATAAACTAAGGCTCAAATACATTGTCAGGATGTATTACAAGACTTCAGACAGACTTCTTCCTTATTAGAGCCACAAATTTCAGGCCTCAAGAGGAAGTTCCCTCATGTCTTGCTTGCCCTAGTGAACTATTCCTGATTTTCAAGCGGTGCCGTTTTTCCCAAAAATTATCAATTGTTTTGTTACATTCATACATACTTTTGGTTAGATTTATTTTCTTGCTCCTCTGCTGCACTTTGGTCTGATTACAACCAATTCATATTGCACTAAACAACCATGGAAGTGGAATTCTGATTTCATGTAATTCTATTCATGAATATAATTTTTCATGCAATCTGAAAAAAATGCATTTCAACGGGGTTTAACATATAGTGGATATAACTATTTCCACCACATCTTATAGCATCTAAGAACCTAAGAATAGTCATACTGGATCAGACCAAAAGTCCATCTAGCCCCGTATTCTGTCTTTCAACAGTGGCAAATGCCGGGTGCCCCAGAGAGAATGAATTTACATTTAAGGGCAGAGCTTACTACAAAATGAAGTCTACCACTAATGCACAGCCACCGCAGTATTTCAGTTGGTTTTACATGTTCACACTACACTCCTTTGTTGGCAGTGTGCGTCCTTATCAGGAGCACTTGCACCAATTTAAGTGCCAGGGCAGGGCATTACGAGATGGTTTCTGAAAGGCAACAACAGTTAACATAAGTAACACAGTGTCTACGCTGACCCTGCATCAACCTAACTACATCAATTTAAGTATTACACCTTTTGTGGAGATAGTGGGCTAATGATATTGATATGAGCTATATACTTTAGTGTGCATGTTTACAGAGTTAGGAGTATATAAGCTGCCTTACATCACCCTAACTCTGTAGTGTAGACCAGGCCTAACCCTTCCCCTCTCCCTCCCCTACTTCCTCCCCCAATCCCTTTCCTTCTCGCATGCACAAACACACCCTTTATATATTACATTTCACTCACCTTACTGTGCTGTACAGGGGCTGGTTTTTTTGGTGGTAAAAGACTAGCAGCTCGACTACATTTGCTGTATAATTTAAAAAAAACTCATTACCACTCAAGTGTTTTAGCAATAATAAAAGGAAAGGGATATTTTCTGATTAGAATTTTAATGTTATATGCCTTTGGGATAGCAAAATTTTAAAAGAAACAAAAAACAGAGGAGCAATAGCTTCTTTTTCAACAAGAAACAGCGCTAGTCAATTTGCTTAGGTAAAAGCTATTAAATGCTGCATTTATTTTCAAAGAAAATTTGAAAGGGAGATTTAGAAATATGAAATGCTCATCAATTTCATGCAGAAGTTGTAAAGAAGATTTTCTTCATCAAAGAGGTTTTTGTGGATTTCCCGTAACTTGGAAATTGCTGTTACATCCCTATAACTGGAATCATTCAGGCCTTATTTTATTAGACTGCTGAGCTGCCTGAAGTGATTGCTACTGAACTGCTGTTTTTTAAACATGCATATATTAAATTCTGGGGAAAAAAGAAGTTACTTAAGAAATATGAAAGTTTTGTATTTATTATGCATGATTTTAATTAAGAAATTGTTACAAAATTCCCCACATAAAAGTACCTGGAAATGAAAAGAACCCCCCAATAGACTAATGTGGAAGAAAACTGCCTCCACACTAACTTAGTTCCAACTTTTATCACACAGGCTGTTTCATCATTTCCTGTATCAGAATCATCAGATAGCTCTGGGATACCTGAATGTGCTCTTTTCACTGACTGTTGAATTTAAACTGCTTATCCGTTTGAGCTTGGCCAGCTTTCTATTCCACACTTCTAATTCTTCTATCCTGATTTCAAGGTTGTTAGTTAGTTTGCAGAGCTGCTTAACTGCACCAATATTCTCCATAAAGATCTGATCCTGAGGAGTGAAAGGGAGAAAAAACATACTGTATTAATCAATGAGCTTTGACAACCATGTATGTCTACCGAATTTACCCATCCAAAGATGGTTTGAGCATTAAAGATGCAAACACAAGTTAATCTTACTATATATTTTAGAAATGTGCATCTTCTGTCTGTCTATCTTTCCAACTATCTGCAAGTCTGTTTGTTCAAGAACTCCTCCTAAATGGCATGAGCTTAGACCACCAAATTTGGTTTGTAGCTTCCTCTTATAACTAAAAGGAAGGTCAGGGTTTTGTTGTGCCAAGATAATGGGATGTGCATGGAATTCGACTGTTTCTCATAAAAGGGAAAGGGAAAGGTCTGGTGGGAGGAGGTTATATTGCAGAATGACCACAGGGGTCAGCAAGGAGCCAGAGATGGGGACCCAGCTAGCTATAATCCCAGTGGACCAGAAGGGATCATGGTGGAGAAAGGGACAGCTATCTACTATATATTTCAGAGAGTTTGTCTGTGTGTCTGTTCCCCAGCTGGGGGATCATGCACTCCCCTCCTCCCCCCACCCCAAGTTGTGCCCGCTGCAGCTGCATTGGCCATGGACAGGAGTGTCTCACCTGGCCCCAAGGTGCTGCAATGAGAGAGAGCTGGGGTTGTCTTTTCTCCCTGGGGCAGCCTGCATACTGAACCCCTCATCTCCAGCCACCCCAGAACAATGATTTAAATGTAGAAAACAAAACTTATTTGAGTTAAGGAACCAAGCAACACCAGGTAAATCTTCTAATTTAAAATAAACAATAGGCCACTTGGGACTATAATATCCTTTTGCTGAATTGCTGACTGTTGAGAAAGTGCTTATTTTCAATTTGCAGTAAATTGGAAATAAGCACTTGTATAAGAAAGATAGTGACTGAACTGAAGAACTACGCAGACCAGAATCCAAAATCTGTTTTTAATTAACCCAGTGGTGAAATGTTAAGTACCAGAAGGGTCAAGGCAGGCATCTACATTTCATTTATACCATTGCAACTGAAAACAGTCTCAAGGATTTACATATTCATTGGATTGTATAGCTCTGGGATGGGTTAACTAGCTCAGATGCCAATCCCATGAACCAAACATGAACTTCCAAGGGAATGAGAGAGAGATGGAAAAGAGGGTCCCTAGTTCTGACACCCAGTTTATTTCATCTGAACTATTTTCACCCAGCACGAGGCCCACATAGTCATTGGTACCCAGCATGTATGTCACCATCTACAAATCTCATTTCTAATTGTCCATTTTTTGCCAAAGGGCGATGACTTACTCCAATGTGTTCAAGCCAGGCAGAAATGGAATATACACAGAGATTTATCTTTTTCACTGAAAATACCATGTACCACAGCTAGGATGGAGAAGGTAAGTCACACACTGAATTATTAGTATGTTTATTAATAAGTAGTTAAAATGCAACTCCACTGAGAATTCAATAGGAATCCTTTCTTATTAAAAAAAAACCTCTTGCACATGGGGGATCAATTCAAATTTGAAAGACTGATATTTTCATCCTGACAAAAACAAAACATGTGGTCCAGCTGAAATTTCTTATTTATTTTTTAGGCTTAATAATTAGCAATCAAGTCAGTGTGATGAGATTTCATGCTCTTGGCTGACCAAAATATACCTGATTGATGGAAGTATATTAGGCCCTGCCTGAATATTAGCTCCATATGGGCGGACTCCTGTGCCTGTGTTGATCTCCACTGACTAGGTCCAGTGTATGGGCTGGGCTCCATAAGCATGCAACATTATGAAGGATCAGGGCCTTACTGTCCACATAGGCCTCTTGATGTCTCCTTACATAGAACCGAAGGTAGCAATTTTGAATCAGACAGCCACAACTACCATTAACGAACAGACAATTATTTAAAGAATCCAAAAGAACTATTTACTTGTGACTGGCTTTAACTATATTATCTGTTCTAATGTATTTTGCCTCAAGACCCTAAAAAAAATTTCTGCTCTATATTACTAAATTATTAAGTAAAGGAAATTAATTTTTGTTGGCCAGCAAACAGTTTAATTGGTACTGATTTACTAGACAGCCAGGATCTTCATAAAGTCTGATAGCTGGACTAGTAAAATAAAATATGGCTCAAGAGCACAGCTTCCATTCCCCCAAAAGGGGGGAAAAAGCAAATTCGTTCTGAATGCCAAAACCTATGGGGCTGACCCCGGGCTGATTCTTGAATTTGCTACTGAAATTTTTCAAATTTAAAAGTGTTTCATGTCATAAGAACATAAGAATGGCCATACTGGGTCAGACCAAAGGTCCAGCTAGCCCAGTATCCTGTCTGCCAACAGTGGCCAATACCAGATGCCCAGAAGGAGGGAACACAACTGGTAATCATCACGTGATCTCTCGCCAGTCATCCATTTCCAGACAAACAGAGGCTAAAGACACCATTCATACTCATTCTGACTAATAGCCATTGATGGACCTAACCTCCATGAATTTATCTAGCTCTTTTTTTAACCCTGTTAAAGTCTTAGTCTTCACAACCTCCTCTGGCAAGGAGTTCCACAAGTTGACTGTGTGCTGCATGAAGAAAAACTTCCTTTTGTTTGTTTTAAACCTGCTATCTATTAATTTCATTTGGTGACCCCTAGTTCTTATATTATGGGAACAAGTAAATAACTTTTCCTTATTCACTTTTTCCACATCCATCATGATTTTATAGACCTCTCTCATATCTCCCCCTTAGTCTCATCTGTTCTAGGCTGAAAAGTCCAAGTCTTTTAAATCTCTCTTCATATGGGACCTGTTCCAAACCTCTATGTCCAGTACTATAACACTATCTGAGTGGCAGTAAACCAATAATATACCTTATCAACCATGAGGAAGTTCTCTACTTTTTCTCCATTTTCACAGGTAACATCTCCAACTTCTTTAACAGCTGCAGGTAAAAGCTCTTTCAGCTCCTGGGCAATTATTCCTGTTTTCAAAACAATGAAAACTAGTGTAAGGGAAACCGGCATAAGGGATGTGGGGTTCAGGATGCAGGCTGCCCGAGGAGAGAGGACAACCCCAGCCTTCTATCACCACAGCAGCTTGAGGTCAGGTGTGAGGTTCCTATCCATGGCTGCTGCAGCTCCAGCAAGCACAGGCCGAGGAGAGGGGATCATGTCTCCTGGCTGGGGCAAGTCCAGGTTTGTCTGCCCCTGCACTCCCCGGCCAGAGTGAGGAATGCAGCAAACTGTGCACTTTCGGGGGAACACACAGAAATGGTCCCATATGAATTGGGAGTAAAGAGCACTAAAGAGCACCTGGGGGTGGGAGGCTTGGGGTTGGGGCAATCCCCAACAGACAGTGGAGGCACGCCTCCAGCCAGCTGCCGCAGCCGGCCTCGGGCTGCTCCTGCTACCTTGACAAAAAATCTCCAGTGACAGAGATTTCACACCAACAGACAGTGGAGGCACGCCTCCAGCCAGCTGCCGCAGCCGGCCTCGGGCTGCTCCTGCTACCTTGACAAAAAATCTCCAGTGACAGAGATTTCACAACCTCCTTAGGTAATTTATTCCAGTGCTTACTCACCCTGACAGCAAGTTTCCTCAGCAAATTCTAGGTATGCACAGTTAGCAAACTGCTCTATCCCAGGAGACCACCATGATTATGACAATCTTGCAGCCCACTAAGGGTATGTCCACACTACAGAGTTTTGTTGGAAAAACGGCCGACAAAACTTGAACGTCCACACTGCAATTACGTTCTTCGCAAGAAAATTGAAAGAACAGAGGGGTTTTTCCGGCATTGGTAATCCTCAATCTATGAGGAAGAAGCCTTTTTGCAAAAGAGCTCTTTTGCAAAAAGGCAAGTGTGGATAGTGAAGAGAGAGTTATTTCAGAAGAAGAGGAAAGAGGAAAAAGCACAGATGCCCTGGTGGCCATTCCGTCCATATCAATCACAGCTTACATGTGAGAGAGCATCCATTCAATCTGGACGCTCTCTTTTGAGAAAGCAGATCGCTTTTTCGATGCACTTTTGCAGTGTGGACGTGGTCTTTTGGAAGAAGTTTTTCTGGAAGAGCTCTTCTGAAAAAAGTTTCTTCCGAAAGAAGCCTGTAGTCTAGATGTAGCCTAAAGTGAAGGAGGGCCATTCTTGTGGCTCACTCACTAGCCTAGGTTGCTCATTGCTGATCTAGGTTGTATTTCCCTAGTGTGTTAATGAGATCATGCAAGTCAATATCAAAAAACCTTACTGAAGTCAAGATATGCCACATCTACCACTTCCCATCCACTCGCATATCTTGTTACCCTGTCAAAGAAAGCTACTGAGCTTGTTTGACATGATTTGTTCTCAACAAATCCATGCTGACTGTTACTTATCACCTATAGACAAAGGGAAAAAAGACAAAGGTATTCAACCTGTCTTGGCCCTTTCATCTCCCAACATTTACAAAAGAAGCTGGTTATACTGATAAATAATAATATGGATTAATATTTTCAATGCTTGAATATACAAAAAATGGTTGAACCTATTTGGCTAAAGCTTTTTAAAAAAGTATTATATTTAGGCTGAGACCAATCATGGAAAATGTCGGCTGATTGCACCTACTAAAATGAAGACACAGTCAGATATCCACATATTTTCATACACATCCATTTTAACAAAAAACTTACCGCAGAGACCCTTAGGCTCCTCAAAATGAGATTGCAATGCCAAGGAATTAATCTTTATGATGCAACATGCAAATATAAAATGACAGACTACAGAGCAGAAGAAGAGTTGATTGAATACCTGTTTCATGGGTACTGTTTATTCCCATTACAGATGCAAATTCAGGCTTGTAGTCGTACTCAACCAGCCTCATTTGCGCTATTCTTCTCAGCTGCTCCGTTGTATCAACCTAATTGCACAAAGACCAGGTCATACAGGTTCCAGTATTAAAGATCAGAGTCATGTCAGGGGTTTAATTACCATATGGAGAAGGATGACACAGCTGCCTTCAAACATCTCCTTATTCATCATTAACCAGTTATTTTAACTTGTATTCCCAGCTACATTTGAGTCAAACCATTTCATTTATAGACACACATCTGCACCCAAGTTCAAAGTTCTCCCAATTTCAAATAAGATGGCTCTGCAAAGCACGGCAGCGCATCCGTTTTCCTAAGGCCAACATTCCAATGTGTCTCGGGTAACAGCATCTATGCCCTGTGTGTCAGAATGATAATTTATACATATTCTGTGGTATAAATGTAAATGCCCTAAATACTCCACAGCACTCACCTCCTGGATATTCTGTTTTGCTCGACTGTCAGATGGATGCATGACTGTCCCCATCACTTTCACATTTCCACAGACAACCAGTGCTTCATCTGGTGCATCTGTGTTAATTCCTACTCGACCATGGCAGACTATGGTCTCCGGAACATGTCCTCGCTGCCACAACACATCAGTATCATTCTCAAACTGCCCAGGGTTAGATGCCTGAAAATATTTGTTACAGTCAAAGACACAGTAGCAAGGATTTACAATTGCTTTATCCAATTTACCAGAAGAATATGAAATGCCATACAAATCTTCCACCTTTAAACTACATTTTTGAACTTTTTTGACACATCAAAATGGATAACCTCTAAGCAAATGTTTTCCACCTAGAACATGTACAGCGCCCACAAAGCCTTTTCTTGTATTATATTTTACTATAATGTTGAGAAAGATGGTCAACTTCAAAGCTTTTCATGTTATCAGGTTTGCAATCAGACTCGCTTCTAATTTGCCAACAAACTGTCTTCTGGCCTGCTAGTGTAACCCACACACCTTGTGTGAGTACTGCAAGTGGCACTTAGACCACTGCAACAGTTAAGATCAAGAGACCTCTACAACATGGGCTAGGAGCCAGCTGGCTTTTAGTTCAGAGGGTAGAGGCTCCTATAGTCAGCTTCCGAGGTTCAAATCTGCCTTGGTGGCGGTTACACTAGCTCACTAAGGACAGACTGGATATTGGATAAGAGAAAGAAGGGCAGATTTTAACACGTCTCACACTAAAGATTTTTATTTGAAATCCATTGAACACACAGATTTCTCTCTTATTTTTTACCCATTTTCAGAGACTCGCCTTGTATTTTGTCCCTGAGGTTCACACTGACCAGATAAGAGGTGGGTTAGGGCTTGAATACATGCATACTGCATTCCTAACATGCATACGCTCTGGACTTTAAATCAAATTTAAGGTACATTGTGTCCACATTGTGGCTGCCTAGGAATAGTTTTTGTATTTACAAAATTATCTTACAACTCTATTACCTGAAGTGGCCAATTACCACTTCTTTATTGTAAGCTGTGTGGGGCAAGGACTATCTTTTTGTTGTGTGTTTGTCCAATACTCAGCACAATGGGGTCCTAGCCCCACACTTTACTAAAAACATTGTGCCAATTTCTTCTTCCCTTTGTTTGTTTCAGTCTTTTAGGACAAAGGGTCTTTTGACTGAGATTCAGCCTTCTTTTAAGTTTCAAACACATTTAGCATCTTGAGCGTATTTCCAGAAACAAAAACTCAGCAATTAAGCAGTTTATTGAACCCAAGATCTTTATGTGCTTAGAACAACCTAAACCTTATTAAGATGCCTCAGGAAAAGAAAAGAACCATGACATTTTCTAATGGTTTAACTTTTCATTTTTTAAGGATAATAATATTGCTGACTAAAGTGCATATAGTTAAATTGACTTTGTAACTGCAGTTGCAACAAATCAAAGCTACTGGAAGAATTCCACTTTCATTTATCAACTGAGACATGGAAATTTCCATCATATTGAAAACATATTTGCACAGGTTCAGAGACATGCAAGGATTAAAACCAGCAGTTCCTGGAGAAGTGACCATCTTTAATACAAATACATTTTGCACTCTTAGGATAAGTCAGCTGTCATTTTCAGTGAGGAATCCCTAAATAAGCATGCCCATACATTCTACAAAATACTGCCCCTTGTCTGAACTCTATTACTTAACATTAGAGCCATCAAATGAAAATGATGAGAGGGAAGAAACTTAATAAACAAAAATCCTAATGCCTTTTTTGTTTAATTCTTTTTTATAAATGAACAATTAACACTGAATTCAAGCATAAAAAGGTGGAGCTAAACAAACTACCAATGACAGAAACTCAGCTTTCCTTTATGAGGTCTTGTGTTTTCATCAAGCTACACAATCTGTGATATGGAGAATTGTTCACTTATCACAATTATAGCATGATCTGATATGCCTGCTAACCACTATTCCATTTGTGGTTCTTTCTTCTTTCATTCTGCAGTATGGCAGACCAGAGTTTATGCTTTTCCTATCACAATGCATTCAGGAAGTTTTGCCACACTTCAGTAAATGATGTCATATATATATGACCCCGTCTTCCATTCCAAACATATCAGACCAGAACACCACTATAGTCCCATTTATTGGTATGATCACTGTTTAAATTCTCAGTCCTCTACTTTTGTCTATTCAATCATTTATTTATTTGACTGGTATCATGAGCACAAATGCTAAAAACTTTACTTCCATTCAGTAGTAGTAACTGATGTGCTTCCTCTAATGGGTATGGGAGCCTAAATCATTGACTTCTGCAGAACATAAGCTTTCATTTAAAACAAAAAGTAACTTACTTGCCCTTATGGTTCATAAGTCAATGATCTAAATGTGACTTGTATTCAAACATGCAGTTGTCTTCCTGAAACTGTAAAAAGCTCCAAGAGCTCAGCTTTACAGCAACAAAGTGAAATTATAGCACTGCGGTCAGTTTTACAGCTACTGTTCAAAATCATTTGGGCAATAGTAAAACTGCCAAGATTCAGATCAGTTTCATGATGCTGGTGCTTGGAAAAGCTATGAGCAGTAGTAGAGGGAGACATGGGAGTTATTCTTGGGAGCAGAAAACTAAAAATGGAGGCTGCAGTAGAGATAAAAAACTTCCTAACTGTCAGGATAGCCAGGCACTGGAATAAACTGCCTAAGAAGGTTATGGAATCTCCAGATTAGACAAACACCTGTCAGGGATGGTCTAGGTGGAACCTGACCGTGTCAGTTTAAAAATAAATAATTTCCAGATGAACCAAAACCACTTTTTGTTGTTGTTTTCTTGGCATTGCTAGGGAATTGCAAAATCTATTATTTATCAGTTCTACGTGTTAGTGCTATTTCACCTTATTTAACAACACAATATTTCTACAAAAAATACAAACTTTTCCTTTAAAGTGAAGTCCAATGATAATTTTTTAAAAATAGCTTATTTTTATTTAGCATATGTATTTGTTTGTGTAGTGAGAGTCAAATATATTTTACTACAATGAGAAAAATAAAAGTTTACTGTTTTTCACTCCTTTTAACCCTGCAGAGTCAACACAATTACAACAACATGGACTGTGGGCTCTATTTTACTGTGCACTTCATCAGCACAGTTGAGGTACGTCTATACGGCAGGGCTAAAGTCAAATTAAGCTACTCAATTGTGTAGCTTAAGTCAAAATAGCTTAACTCAGCTTTTGGCATTGTCTACACAGCAGGAAGTCGAAGGAAGAACACTCTTCCTTCGACTTCCCTCACTCTTCGTGAAATGAGGGTTACAGGAGTTGGAATAAGAAGTCCTCCAACTCTCCATTATTTCAGAATAACGGCTTGCTGTGTAGACGTGCTCTTTGTTATTTTGGAATAACATCAGTTACTCCAAAATAATGCTGTAGTGTAGACATAGGCTTGTTTACTAAGTTCCAGCACTAAGCTTGCTGAAAGCAATGGGATGACTTAAGGGTCATAAAGGTGACATAAAGGGCATAAATTGGCCTGCAGAATATTTGACATGGGTGATGAGACAAGCTCAGACAGTTTGCCAGCCTAGAAGTTAGAACTTATTACTGTATTTGTAAACTGAGCACAAAAATAATCAAGAGGTGGTAAGTATGGGCACTCAGAGTGCCATTTTAAGTTACTTTTCAGAAAATAGAACTGCACTGTAAAAATCATGGGGAGACTACTGTCCTGGGCCCAATCCTGTAAACATTTCTCACACAGTCAATTTAGCGAGATTCCTTGCATGCATAAAAATAAACACATTTGGGTCCATTTGGCTCTGCCCTAAACATTGTATTCAAAAGAACAGCACAAAAGACCTCCCTTCATCTAAAGTCCTTTCCCTAAATGTGATACACACATACTAATTCAAAAATTATCAGGTGCCTACAAACAATCCAAGAGCTTTATAAAATTTCCCATATTCTTGTAAGTCTTCTCTCTCCCCATATGCACCTCTCAAAATGAGTCCATCTTTCACACATGCACACACAGATATACAGAAATATTTATAGCCTTACAATAAGCCCTCAAAATATTAAGATCCTTAAATCACCATGGGAACTAAACATAATACAATCAATGCTACAAACAATAAAATATACACTGCCCAACAATTATCAGAAAGTTCCCTTGTGAAAAGAAAATATGAATATGGTTCAAACGAAAGTAATATAAACTTATACCTACCCTCACAATGATCCTTTCAGAGACTTGTGCCGACAATAAATAGTATTGGTCTTGACTGACAGCATGTAGTCCAACCACCAGCATGAAGTATCTGATATGAAATTAATATCAATGATTTAACAATGAAGCTGAAAAAATTTCCTCTTAGGCATAATGTACTTATAACTTTAGGACAATGATTCTCAAACTTTCTGCTCTGTGGTCCACATGGCTCAATGCAAACCTTTCTGCGGATCACCAGTAGCTAATGGAAACTCGCCATTAATTACATAATTATGCTCGAGCCATTTTGCTAGTGCTGCAACTAGGGAGAATGATTTAATTTAAATTATTACACAGATTAAGCATTTTAACTCTCTCATGTTAGTCCATCAAACTTCATTTTAAATAAAGTAAAATATTAATTGATGTCCAACAGAAAAGGTTTCAATGTTTTCTTTATTTATGGCAAGGGACCAATGTTTTATTTATTTATGGGGGACCTTTTTTGGAATGGGGGCCACTGACCCACACATAAAAATAAGTTGGGGACCACACAAGTGAAAAGCAAAAAAACTCCTCCCAAAACTCCCAACCCTCACACTCATGTGGCTCCCAACAGAGAGACCTTACTCCTCTGGCACTTTATCCCCATGAGCTGAGGGGGAGGAAAAGGGAGAACTAAGGTTCAGGCTTCCCATAGCCCAGATTTACTCTTCTAGGGTTAGTTGATTTTGTGGACCCCTCAGGCTCTGGGGTGGGGACAAAAATGAGGGGTTGAGTGTGGAAGACAGTGCTGATAGGGATGGGAGTGCAGAATCTGGGTGGGAGGTGAGGTGAAGGAGGGAGTGAGGATGCGAGGTTTGGGTCGAGGCTGGGTACAGGAGCAGGCTGGGAGTAGGGTGTCTGGGGCAAGAACAAGGGAAGGTGCAGTATATGGCCAGGAGGCAGGGTGCAAAAACAAGGGTAAGTGCAGGAGCAAGGTGGAGACGGGTGTCTAGCCAGGAGAGAGGGTGCAGGAGTTGGGTGGGGTTGGTGTCTGGTCAAGGAGGAGAGAACAGGAGCAGGTTGTCGGTGCAGGATCTTGATGGGGCAGGGAGTGTGTGAGGGAGGGTGGTGGTTTCGGCATGAGAGGAAGGGGGGCACTTACTTGCTTTTGTGCCCTGAGCCATTCTCAGGCCCGGTGTCCCAGGCACGGCCTCCCGCTGCTCCCATTGGCTGGGTTCTGGCCAATGTGAACAGCAGGGAAAGCCTCTAGGATCTAAACTCTATCACACTATTTCTCTGGCCAAATTATTCATACCGATAATAGTTATTGCATTTTAAACCTTGTATTTTAAACACAACTTATTTTGCATTATGGACAGAAAATTAACTCTTCTTACTCTGTTTCATTCACTGGTTATTAAATGTTCTTTGGATCCAAAGCTCACTGAAGGCAATAGAAATACTTTGGTATCACCCACTCCAACCATTCAGGAAATCATGCCACAGGCCTCCCCCCCCCCCCCCCCCCCAAAAAAAAATCAGAAATTTGGCCACAAACAAATAAGAGAAGGGTGTATATGTGGGTGTGTTTCTCTATTTTTATTTACATTCTGGTTTCTGAGACATTAAGATACATTCTGGGTCATGTTTTCCAGCTTTGTGCTGCAACCATGAGAACTAGAGCCACTTTTTTTTTTTTAGCGGGGAGGAGGAATGAAATTAACTCTCACATAATTCTAAAGTTTCAGGAGCTGGGTCTTTCAGAAAGACACCAAAGAAAACTCAAGATGAAATCAGGAGAATTGACAACACCAGCTTTCACTGACTTCAGCGCATCTGCCTCATTGTAAGCTAAATCACTTTCCCTTTACAGACACCCCCATTGCAATACCTTTGGTCAGGGTTAGGCTTCCCTTTTTTTCTCATGTTATTTGCTGTTGTTTCACTGAAATGTAATCTTCCCAGTGTCACTTTGGTTACCTGGTCTCCTGGTAGATCAAGTCTAAAACAGAAAAAGGAAACAAGTTAAAGGGCAAACAACCATGTTCCACCTGGACCACTTCTAATTTTCTAGTAGATTTCCTCAAGTTCATTAATATGCTTCACTCTTCTGATTTGATATACTGAGATGACCACAAAGGCATCTCAGTGCATGTGGAATGCTCCCCACTTAAAAGAAGAAAATGTGACTCTTCATATATGAGCCATTTCAACATAAGTTGCCAAAACATGTCAGCCTCCCATTAACCAATAGATCACAACATCCTGTCAGGAAGTTAAATAAGGGGGTGAATGTACTCAATCATATACTCTCATCCACACAAGAGTTGGAATATTTGGGTTTTTCATAACATTCATATACTCTATCTCCGCACCAAGAGCCATACATAGCTACACATGGTAGGCTCACTGACATATTAATTAGCTGCTAATTTAGGGCACTACCATGTCATTAATGCTACAGTAACACATTAACAAGCCTTAACCTCTCTCCTGTTTGTTTTTACCTATATCTAATTTATATTTTCGTGTCTACTGTGGTATGTAATGATTATCCGATAAAGCTTTTTTCCTTTTTCATAGACAAAAACAGTTCAACCATCCACTTTTCATTTGGTATAAATCAGTGTTACTCCCTGAGGATATTTTTTACCCTGGTATCCAGAAAAAAAAAACACAGCAGAAAAGATTTAGGACTAATCTGTTCCTGCTTCCCAATTCAGAGTTCACTTCTGTGGATTTTTGAATAGGATACGTAACCTTTTCTGAAACATAAGATGGCAATTTTTCTCTGTGTCATTT